TATATATATATATATATATACTTGATTATTGGCCAACTACTTACTATTTGAGTGGCTGCTTCGTTTTGGAATTATTGAGCACTGGATACATAAAAATGTGAAGTTCGTCGTTTCTACGTCTACGTCATGGTGAACGACAGTTTCGAGGAATTCAAATATTTTCTTTGCTTCTCTTCATCCTTTTTCACGGCTACTCTCTGAGATTCGCGCGAGACTTCTGCCACTAAGTTGTATCTCTTTCTTTTTCTCATTGAAGATCATCGTCGGCTTTCGAAAGAACGAAAGACAAAAGAAGAATAAAATAAATTGTAGCTATGTTGGTTAAAAGAATCATCTCGAGGTTCATTACTTTCTTCTTTGTCTTTCATTAACTTCCATTCTTCTTCTTGGAGCAATCTCTCTGGACTATTCATAAAAAGATTTTAAGAAATAAAAGATATATTTAAAAAAAATATTAAATCAAATTTTGATTTTTTTTATCTTTTGTTATAATAATGCAAGTATTTTTTTTTAAACTGATTTTCAAATATTTAACAATTTTTATCATTTTTATTCGGTCAAGTTTACGGATTGAAGCGAGAAAATGAAGATTACAAACGGATTATTAAAAAAAAATTAAGTTATAATTGTTTAAAATTCGTTGAAAAATAAGGAAAAATAATTTAAAAAATATTAAAAATATTTCAGAATAAACTCCATGACGATTTGAGATTTTTTAAAAAGAGCTTTAAAGTATATGATATAAGCTAATTAAGTTTAAATCATAATTATATTTATTTTCCTGCATTATTCTTTTTTTTTTGCAGTTTTCTTCTTTAAGAAATGTATAATCTTTTTTTCTTTTGGGATGCAATGAAGAAAAAATCCATAATAGCTATTTTATGCTTCTAAATTATAGAAAAATCATGGAAAAACTTTCACATTTTTTTTCTCTTTTTTTTTTCTCTCACACACATACATATATATATATTTTTTTTTTGTTTTTTTTTTTAGAAATGTTTCAGTATGACAAACATGGTCCATTGTATATATGTAGTTCAATATACATTAGCGCTAGGATTTGACGATTATAAAGATCTATATATTGAGAAATCAGAAACGACACTGGTATCCACGAATCATTGATTACGTATTCTTAATCTTAAAGTTAGTGTGAAGAGATTTCGTTGAAACTTTTTTATCTCATTGTACTCAGAACCGTCGATTTATTTGTTTAAAAATCTGTTTCTTCAATATTTTCCTTACAATTATGAAGATTAAACATCATATTCAATACTAATATTAGGTTTTCTGAAGATCATTCTATTTCATTGATTATTAAGTAATCAAAATGCATGAAATATATAAAATACAAATATATCTTTTCTTTTTTCAACGGCAAATATTAAAAATTCTTTGTTTCTTTTATTTTAAATAAAAAAACTTTCGTTTTTTTCTTTTTTTTCATTTTTCTTAATCTAAAAAAATAAATTTATAAATTATAATTATGCTATATTTTGTAAACTACTAATAATCTTCAATATATTATATTTTTGAATAATTTTTAGATTTTCAATATTTTGTTCAAGATAAAAAGTAAAATATATACAGATAAAAATTATTTGATCATATAATTGTCGGATCTTTCTTTTCTTCTAATTCTATTTTCTTCTTTCCGTTTCATTTATTCAATAAAAATTCGACGGTTCTGTTTCAGTGAATCATGTACATATATAGCAAGACAAACGCATTTCTCTTTTCCAAGAGAAGATTATTGAGCTTATCAAAATAATTGGCCTATAAAATATCGCGGGATTATCGTAAAAAAGAATAAAATTGCTCAAAGATCGTGTATCACGATAGAAAATACAAGCTGAATTATTCTTTTTTTCTTTACACGCAGAAATTCGTCCAAAGAAACATTAGTTAATCATGATTATTTGTTGTTCGATGAAACACGATCAGAATCAGGTATTAGCACGATAAAAAATTAATTTTTTACATCAATATTACGATTCTTGCTTCGCTTTTTTTTTCTTTTTCTTTTTTTCATTTTTATTCTCCTGTCTATGCTACTTAGTTTTATCATTATTCTTCACTTTTCTCTTTTATTCTCTTCTTCTCGTCGTGTCGCTTATGCATAATTTCAAGATGAATCTTGATTCAATTTTTTTTATTCTCTTCTTTCCTAGAAATTTCGTTGTGAGCTATCGAAAATCATATAATATATATAAACTTCTTCATTTTTTTTCACAATTTTTCATTTCTTCACTTTAAGAAATTATTCGATGGCTCTTCTTGAAGTGGGGAAAAAAAGAAATCGACTGAAGAAGGTAACGTACGATTAGCAAAAAGGAATCGAAAAAGTAGAGGAAATTAGGAGATCCATTATTCATTTGGACTCAATTCATCCGCTCGATTTCAATCGAAAAGAATATATCCTTTAATAATGATACAACATTTTTCGAAGAATCTCCAGGTCAAGATATTTTTTTTTATTGGAATTATTGGATTCTGAAGAAATGAAACGTCTTCTGAATTGATTTAAAACTGATTGTCAAATTCTGTTTTCGGTTGATCAATCTGTTACGCATTCGATCATTTTGTGCATAATCATTTTACAATGTTTCATATTATCCTGCGAAAAATACAAAACATTATAGAATTTTAATTTAATCAAAGAATAATATAGAGGATTGAAGAAACAATTTGTTTCTTTCATTAACTTCTCTCTCTTAATTTTCAACCTATATATCGCTATCATTTTTAATAATTTCTAATATAATTATATTGTCAATTTTATAGAAGTAATTAAATATTACTTTGTGGTAAAAAATTATACTAAT